GAGTAGTATATATATATATATATATATATATATATATATATATATATATATATATATATACACGCGCAATCGCGACTAAGCATCGCAGCAACCGGCATGCACCGTTGAAACAATACTCGTGACGAATATACGCTTCACGCAGCCCCTTGCGCGCAATTAATTATCCGCTATAGCGATTAATCGTGGCAATTGGAGCGAGAACGGTCGTAATTGTAATCGTCGAAAGGACCGTCTCCCCGTTTAATACGATCAAACATCGGAACAAAATCTTCCTCTTCGACACACCTGTTGTCTCTCGCTTATTATTATTCTCAGTATTATTATTACCATCATCATCGTCATCCTCGATCGAGGAGACACGTGGCCGGGATCCAAGGTGCACGCGTTCTCGAAGGGGTGGCGATCGGTCACCTGTAGTCGGGGGGGGGGGGGAGCTTTTGCGGTTAATCCAGTCCGTTTGGTCGCGGTCGGACTCGCGGCCTGCTGCCGCTCGTAGACGAGGAGGCAAGCTCGCTCGAAGCGCGCGGAGAGAGAGAGAGAGAGAGAGAAGGAGCAGGAAGCGTATCGAAGGTGGAGGAGAGGAGAGAAGAGTCGGAGAAGCGGGCAAGCGCAAGCGCCCGTCCGATCGATGCCCGTCTCCCGCTCGTATAAAGCTCTCGTCCTCGGGGGGCGCGCGACAGTTGGCGTTCCGCGTTCGGAACATGCGCCGCGTCGCGAGTCCATCGTTTCCCGGAACAAACGTTTCGTGTCGCCGCTCGAGGATAAACGGTCGGCCGAAACGACGCCACCGATCCTCTTAACCCTTCGTTTCGATTCGGTTTCGCGTGGAGGAAGGAAGGCGCGTGTGTTTCGTTTCTCTCACTTTCGAGAGATCGGTTTCGACTCGATCGGTTCCGTTTTTTGGCCAAGTGTCGTCGCAGTGTCGAAACGCGAGTGGGTGAAGCAAGTGTTGGATCGTGGAGACGATCCCTCCGCGTTCCCCGGATGTCCGGGGGCATCGGTGGACCGTCTGACGTCACGGATCAGGACCGGTTGGAAGGTCGAATCGAGGTCGACGAGGAGGCCGGCGCTGGTTGATCGCTGGCTCCCTTCTCGCGACGTGTCACCGACATTCGTCCCGGGCGAGATACGAGATCCGGGCAGGCGTCAGAGCGGCGGTCGCTGGACCGTCCGGCGGACGTCTCGACCGCCGTACGGCGAGGCAGGAGGTGGAGAAGGAGGGGCTGTGGAGGAGGAGGAGGAAGGCCCGCGGACGTGCAACAAGTTAAGAGGCAGCAGCAGCCGCCGCTACTACCGTCGACATCGCTGCCGTCGCCACCGTCCTCGCCACGATGTGACATGGATATCCTAGCCGTAGCCTGCGCCCTCGTCGCCACGGCCCTCTATTGCAACACCCTGCAAGCGGGTTTCGTCTACGATGATCGGTGAGCTCGTCATATCATTCCGCGTCTCTTACGCCACGATCGCGACTCCAACGAAAAGGATACGCGTTTCGGGTGTATATATATATATCTACGTATACGCGGCATCGTTAATATATCGAAATTACGAAAGAGTGATTTCGATTTGCACGGATTTCAAATTGATCATCGCGTAATATCGCGCTGCTAGGCTGGTTAATGGGGACGATAATGATACGATATTTATCGGCGCGTAGAGGCAATAGACGGTAAATGTAGAGTGTAACTGCAAATAAGCTCAAATACGATGAATAAAGGACAAGTTGCAGCTGGATAAGCTGATTTACGAGCTACCGCGATTCGCGTTCCGATTTCATTTAATCCGATTCCATTCCGGTTTAGTTAATCAGATATTACTACTAATTACGCTAACGATGGCCGAAGCGAATCATCGACACCGCTCCATACTTTTTTCCTTACTTTTTTTCTTTCCCTCACGCGCGCTTCCCACCGACGAAAATTCCCACGAGAATGAAAGACGCGCGGAAAAACGGGGGGAGGGGGGGAGGGGAACACGACCGACGCATATTTTCGCGAATCGTGGGCCGAACAGATATAGGCACGACGCTCCATAATCCAAACTTACTCCCGCGATAAGCGTCCTTAATCCGAAGCTCTCGAATTCTATGATACCGAATCCCTTAATTGAGTATCCGGTAATCTCCGGAACATCGTAGTTGCGGGTCGATCAGCTGCGAGGTTTCGGTGTGCTCACCGACCCCCCCTCGATTACGCGCCGCCGCTACTTCTGCTCCCGTCATCGATGGGAATCTGTTGCATCGTTATCGTTCCCTCCTTTCCTGCATGGTGGGTGCGCGCCGATAACGCGCCGATTTATTCGCCGCGATTACGTAAGAACGCGAGTCTCTCGCTTCCTTTTTCCAACGATCGAAAACGGTTTGATGCCGAAACAGGAGGAAGGGACGTCCTCCTTTTTATTCGACGTTTACGTTCTCGTCGATGAAACGGGACGATGAGGCGCGTGCATATAACAACCGCGTGAAATGGCGGTATTGGATCCCTCGCGCATAAATAATCGAGGGATCCGGTGTAATGGAATAATCGTACGGGGTAATCGTACGAATCGGTTTATTCCGGGGGTCGCGTTCAGAAATCAACCGTGTGCAGAGAGGCCTGTTCTAATGGAATTGCGCGTACCACCGGTTATAGTTTGTCCGATCAAACGTTTAATCGTCGAATAAATTTCCACTCGACCGGCCCTACGCGCGGGACCAAAGGCACCCTTTCTCTTCCCCCAACCAACTCGTTTCGTTCGAGCCACGAAGCTCACCCTCCTCCTCCTAGCCCGGCTAATAACGAAAAACGGGCGCAATTAAGCCGTGATAATTTTTCCCCCCGAATTTGGATCGGCAAAGTTGGATCGGAACGTGACATCGTCGGATTTCCAACGATTCTCGAGCGAGAAAAGGGGGTTGCGACTCCTCCCTGTCGGGCGGATGGTAAAAAATGAGGGAAAGTTCGTATGATAAATAGGAGAGATCCGAAGATCCCCCGGCCTTCTGGTTTAGTGGACTGGGTGCAAACGTTTTACTTCTCCAGAATTCACCCCTCCCCGCCAAGTCTCGAGAGTTTATTCCGGCCGCGTTGCGCCACGCTAAAACTCATGGGATAATAAAAGCGTCGTATTTTACCGCGTCGCGCCGACCACAATGCCTCGGCGAAGAATACGGGCGGGGGGGCTGTATTTATTTGCCTAGCCTGCTTTTTTTTCTTTTCTCTCGTCCAACGCATAACCGCGGCAAAAAGAGAGAGAGAAAGGAAGGAAGGAAGGAAGGAAGGAAGGAAGGAAAAGAAACAGGACGTGAAAAAAAAAAAGAAAAGAGAAGGAAGAAAAATTCGGAGAAAAAGTTTCGTTCCCTGTCCCTCCTCTGCCCGACCTAATCCCGTAAACCGACGCGTTTCCGGATACCGCGGAATAAGAAAAGTTAAGGGGGTTGCCTTTCACGGTTGCGCCCCACGTTGAATAATACGGCGCCGGCCAACATATTTCGCCCCCCCCCCCCCGTGAAACGTAAACCGCACAGCGCCAGAATTTCCTTTTTTAACGTACGAGCCGTGTTGCAAATAATCGACGCGTTGTCAAGAAGAGGGAGGAGATCTTTGGAACCGAGATGCAAACCGCGTGCCACTCTGCAAGATTGGCAATCTCGCTCAAATAATCGAAGTCGATTACCGAACCGGCTGTTTTCCAACTGTTTTTTCCGCCCCTCCCCCCGGTAATAGGAAAGGGGGAGGGGGAATCTGCACTGAGAGGAGGGCGTGGATCGAGTGGACAGCGCGAGGAAACGAGCTGTTTAAACACCGTTTCGCACACATCGGGTATCGGGAGGGGAGGGGTGGGAATAAAACAACGCGCTCGTCCGTGTTTATGTTTTCGTTAAATAATGGAATTAAGCCCTCTTTTAAAACTCTTTTTTCCCCCCTTTTTTTTTTTTTTCGCGCAGTCTGTTATTTCACGGTACATTCGTTTTACACGCGTTCCCCGTTTCCCGTTTCGCGCGGAGGCTTCGATATATCGCGTGTATATATATATATATATATATATATATATAAAATTTCCCAGCCGCGTTGTCGAAATTACGGAAAAATTGTCGGTCGGGCAATGTTTTTATCGTTTTCGACCGACAAATCCATAACCGTTACCTCTTCTCTCTCTCGCTCTTTCTCTCTGTCCATCCTTCGTATCCACGATCGATGATCGATCACGCTCGTATCAGGCGCGGTGTCAATTATATCGCTATATATTCTTTCGAGAGGAGGAGGAGGAGGAGAAACGTGGCTACGTGGCCAGCGTTCAAGCATCCCCGTTGCAGGAGCATCGAAAAAATTGCATCGTCTGGCGCGGTTGCGACGGGATGAAACGAGGATTCCCACTCAAATTAACCTCCCCCCCGCGCATGCAGCTTGGGCTCGTTCGAATCGCGGTCGAATAACGTGGAGGGAGGAGAGAAGGGAGAGAGAGAGAGAGAAGAGAGAAAAATAGGGGAGGTTTTGGGAGCGCGTAATAGATCTTGGAATCGCATGCAAATCTGCTCGTTGTTCCGCTCGCGTTGTCAGCTGCGACTGACAATGTGCAGGATGAGCGGCGGGCTCGCTCTCAGGATCAGCTCGGCGGAAAGAGGAGGCAGTTGTCGAGTGACGGGAGAGAATTCGAAAAGCCGGCTCGATGTCCTGGTATTTTAATATCGCTTTTTTTTCGAGGTCGAGTCGAGGATTTAATTTCGCGTCGCCGATTTTTTTCTTTCCTCCCATTTTTTCCCCCCTCCCTCTGTCGATACGCGGCCTTAAATCACAGGGAATCGTGTTCTTACAACTGGGACGAGGGAGGGAGGGAGGAATCCGATCGATCCGTCCAATAACGACGCTTTTTCTCTCGTTGACAAATCCGTGACTATTCGTCACGCGAGTATTGTTTTCTGGCGGGCCGCTATTAACAGAAATCAATCGGCTTTTATCGCTCGTTCTCGTCCCACACCAATCGTAACATCTTTCGTTCGCCGAATTCGTTTCGACCATCACCCTGATGCGCACACCCTGCCTTCATTTTGCCTTTGGCTCCTCCGACTTCGCATCCGCAGGTGGATGCGAAGCGACGGAACGAAACAGAGAGGAACAGCTCTTTCGAAATTCTTGCGATTCTTCCGCTTTATCCGAAATATCGGTTTTTGTTTATTGTTCGCCAACCGCGGGCTTACGTATGCTGCCGAGACCGTGGAGGGAAGAATAAGTTCTGGTCCACCACCATCGCTCCTCCCTCCAACCAGCCGGTGGATCGATGCGCTTTATCGCGGCAGAAAGAGTGTACAACGGCCGAGGGAGATTATTTATCGTCGCCCTCTTGGCCTTGATACGCTCTCGATACGATCCCCGTGAAATACAGCGCGTCCGTCGCTGATCGAGATCCGAACGATATTTATGCGCGCGCTCTCCGTAAAAAAAAAAAGGGTTCCAAGCCTCTCTTTCGGGTATTCGAATAAGTAAACGCCGAAAGTAACGCTTTGAAACGAGAGTTTCGAAGGCAGAAGTGGAAAGTTTAGGATCGATGTATTTATCAAAGTTAACGGAGATTAGAGAAAAGAGCGCGGAAGGTAAAAGGTAAAAGGAATTCGTATCGATATCCCCCTTTCCGGTTTGTTCCGACCCCTGCGAAAATGGGCTGAAAATACCTAACCCCCTCTCTTTCTCCCTCCCCCGTCTTATCCCCCCGTTGGCCTGCAAAGACGACGATGAATACGGTCGGTCCAGGTGGATGCTCGAAAAAGAGCGCCGCGCAAGAAGCTCGCCCCTTCTTTGTATTTCGCCCTTTCAGATCGCGCCACGCACCGTCGTCGCCCCGTATTCATCGAGGGACGAGGCAATATCGCTAAGAGATTTCTATCGAACGGGTGGATTCCTTTCGGAACAAACGGATCATCCGGTGAAACGTATCGGTGGTTGAATACGACTTCTCGCTCTTTCCGCGCCACTGCCTTACACTGCCTTACACTCGCCCCTCTCTCTCTCTCTCTCTCTCTCTCTCTCTCTCTCTCTCTCTCTC